TCTACAGTTTTGTATGCAATTCTTCAATAAATTTCTTAGAAAATTTAGCTTTAGCTTCAAGGAGTTTAATTGTAAAAACCATAATTTAGATAACGAGTTGTCAAAGGTCAAGATGAAGTATAAGTAACAAATCATAAATTCAATTCAGATTATACCATTTATATAGGTAATGTTAACAGTAGCCAATTTTAAATGCAAATAAACATGTTGTAGATAGTACTGAAACTGTTTTCATGGCGTAATCATTAGGGTTAGGAAAGTTATTTCCCTTCTATTCTAATCTGAAATACAACACTGTTTCAATTAATAAGATAAACGGATGTTATTCATTGAGAATGAAATTTTACCTTGAAGTGCAATACTGCTTAAGCATTAAAACTTCTACCATTCACAGGTGTTGATACATGTTAACAGTAGTCAAATGGGTCAATTACAAAAAAAATCATCGCAAAATATAACATAATGTCAACTAAAATTGAAATTTGAGCAGACCTGTTGATAAGATTATACTTTTGCGAGTTCCACACGCTATCATCATAATCTATTGTATAAATTACAACGTGACGGCGTTTGCTAAAGGCAGCGGCCTTGAAGTCAACAGATGTTTATAATATTATTTATTCGACATTGTTTATCAAATATATTTTTTTATTGATATTATTTAAAACCCCTCTTATTTACCATTTTATGAGTAGAATATTTATTACAATATTGTAATAAACATGTTATTCAGATTTTAATGGAGTATTTTTTAAGTTGTGAAATAATTATTATGTGTTGTTTTAATTAATACAATTCCTGAATGGTTTAAATATAACTAAAGAAATTTCAGATCACGGACTTTGAACCTAAATATGTGCATAAAAATAGAATGATTATTGCAAATTTGTTCTCTAATGGAATAATTAATCTTTGCTAAACAAATGAAAGCTGAAACATATTGTCCATCTAGAATAATATAATCGAAAGTTATATATATATATATATATATATATATATATATATATATATATATATATATATATATATATATATATGGGTGTGTGGATGTGTGTGGGTGTCAGGCTTGGTGGTAATGCTAATAATGCATTGCAATGCAAAACTTTCAAAAAAAGAGTATTGCTGGCATTAAACAGCATTACAATTTATTATGTTGTGTATACTCATTTTTTTAAAATTGAAAATGGACATGGGAATCATTGTTTAGATTAAATATTTTTTTTTAGAATAGTAAAAATGAATAAATGATAATTTGACCTATTGAAGACAAAACTTTCTGTATATTTAAACACACTCTAGCTTTATATACTTTTCTGTCTGAAATACAATTTCTACACATTTAAATTTCGTATTTATTTATTTATATAAGCTTTAATTTCAAAGAAAATTCAAAAGTGTTTAAAAATTCCTTTAAAAATTAATTCCAGTATGAGATATACTGATTAAAGTACACTGTAAAGTGATAATTAGAGTGTCAACAAAACACACAATGCCTTGATTATGTAACAATCCAAACAAGGTATATTTTTTAGAATTGCTCCAAAAACCAATCCCTTTTCTCCTGGCTGTGTTTATGAAACATTATGCTGGTCTAGCTGAAGCAAATTCATTAATTAGACCAAGAGGAATAGAAAACAGGCATGTTAGTAGAGCAAAATGTGCACATCGTCCAACCCCTTTAACTTGTATGTGTATTTATTTCACTAAGCAGTAAAGTTTGGGGTAGGAGGTAGAGTGTCCGTAAAGTTTTCGTTGTCTGGCATCAATAACTGACATCAATATTTACACAAAAAGTGCATAATGTACAAGATTCTATCTTATTTGTCATTGTTGGTAATTGTAAAGTTCCTTCTCATGAATAAACAAAAGAAAATTAATGTCAAGTTATTTACTGTTATTAGAATTTGAATCAGCATTCATCATATTTACTTTTGAAGGGATGGAGGTATGTATTTATGAAAATAGTTGCACAGAGTTTGTATAATTTCTATCTTTAATACTTCAAATAAGCAATGATAATGGTAATACATTACTTCACTAAAGACGAAACATACAGGTAAGGTCTACAGCTCTGATTAATACAATTTCAATATTAGTTCAGTATTTTATTATTAGATCTACTAAGTATTTCTTTATAGACCAATAAATAACGAATTGATAATTTATAATCTAATTAGTTTTTATTATCTTTGATACATGTATCTACGCAAAATCTTGAAAAGCTGTGTTGAGAGTTAATAGTACATACTGAACGATTTCAAGATTTTAAAGTAAAAAAAAGTTCAATAATTCAAACAACAATACAAACCAGAGAAACAATTGATTTATGGGTATGAAAACAATTCTGAGTATTGTATAAACAATACTAGTCCCATACCGGAAAGTGTAATCTGATTCCCTCAAAAATTAGAAAGATCATAATTCCATCAAATATTATTGAAGCTGAACAAAATGCAAAATTGTAACTCACATACCAAAAATCATCTCAATATCTACAACCTATCTGCAAAACTTTAGGGAAAAAAGTGCGGAAAACCAAGTGGGAATTCTGGTTTTCCTGAAAAATTTCAAAAGGCCGTAATTCCGTCCAAAATCATTGAAGCGAAACGAAATGCATAATTATTCTGTAACTCATCAACATACACTCTCATACCAATAATCAGCTCAATATCAGCAAGCGTTGAGAAAAAAGAGTGCGGAAAACTAAGTGGGACATACTGACAGACAGATGGAGGGACAGACAGGCGGACAGCTAGACAAAACAGACAGATAACCAGACAGACGAGGAGGAAACCTATAGTCCTCTCCGGTTTCACCAGGAGGGGACTAATAAGATCTTTTTGTGTCATGCAATGGAGAGATCGGACTTTAAAAAGCATGTCCGCGGCTGCGCAAACAACCGCCTACATGGTGTATTTCATATTGTACTGAATTGGGCACCCCATGCTTAAAATGAATAACAATTTTCAAAAAATCTGTATGTCATTTTAAGGGTTATTCCCATTAAGTGCAATAAAACACACGATGCATTATATACATGTACAAATCATGATAGCTCCGTAATAAACACTTTTCTGAAGGTAAAATAAACCAAAGGCGTTACATAGAAATCTTTTGTTAACCTTCAGTGGTTAATTTTGAAAAGAGTGAATTAGCGTGTCTCTGTTTAATTGTTAAGACCGACTTTAATCGGCGCAGTATAAAGTTAGCTGCAGAACTGTAGCGTTATGGTTTTATATATTAGTCTTTGACCATTATGGTCAAAGACTTACTGTAGAAAACCATAACGCTACAGTTCTGCAGCTAGTATAAAGTCTGATGTGTGTAAGTGAATTTACTTGGTTATCAGAAAACCAATCATAAGAATTGTAAAAAAAAAAATCAGCATTAGATCTGTTGTTTGTAACTTTGGCGCTGAAACAAGATACAGTTCAGCCTCATTAGTCCGGGCTCTTTAATACCTTCTGGATGGAATTTGCAGGGAACAATTTATATCTATATATACCGAGTCTGTTGCAGTTATCCGGACGCTGCATTAATCTGGACAATTTGCTCGGAAACACAAGGAGACGGGACTGTACACGTAAATATATTAGAATTTAAAACATTCATTTTCCTAAATGGAAAATAATTCACAGGATTTTACCTCGAAAACTTTTACCATCTGCACAGAATGTCTCTTCAGAGGTTTTGAGATTTATTTCACTTTCGAAGCCGTCGTGTGATTAGCGAAGAACAGAGGAAATTATTTCCGAACTCAGAGAAATCTCCAGTTGCAATGTAATGATTTGGATATACACACTCTGGTTGAGCCAATACTTTTGAGCACGCAAGTTCAAACAGACACACAATAAAAAATTAGTTGCATACTGATGCATATCAAAATGATATAGTATTTATTTTAAAATTCCATAGTTGATCTGAATTTCATGGTGCTTATATTAGCAATGCATCTAAACACACTTTGTTAATTTTGCACAGGAAGACTTGGAATAAAGATTTATAAAAATAAAACTGTGTGACAAAATATTTGAAAATAACTTGTCTTATTGTAAAGTGATAATATTTGAAAATGTAGAACGATCTTAAGAATCTCCAAGAATCGCTAAAGGTTACAGTCATGAACAGAAAAAAAATAGCCTAATTTAAAATTCAATCATGTAGTCTTGTACTATCTGGGCCTCTTTACTGCACCAGTGCACGTCTATTAAACTACAACGTACACTTTACTCAAAATTGCAAATTATTAATGTAAAAATAACTCCTTTCAATTTATCTATGAGAATTTATTTTATTTTTATTCCTGTTTTACTGATTGGCAAACACTAGAATAAAAACACATTTCTGTCTATTCTATATTAAACAAACCGCACCTTGTTAAAAAAAAGTTTCAAAGCAGAAAGATTGTATCGTGTGCAAATTCAGAGAATTTGACGTCATTTGTCAGTAAATTTATCTTGGTCATTTAAACCAAGAGCACGCGTACTCAAGCAGTTCGATTTTCGTGTTGTGTTTTGGGATAGAATGAGGAATCAACACATAAAAATAAAACTACAATGCAAACCACTTTGTGGTTATTGACATCAGCGTGACATTGTTAAATTGTATCGATCCAGTCGAAGCCAGACTAATGAAATGAAATATCTTCTCGTCAATAAACAGTTATTTTTAGTTGAAAAAAAATATTGTTAAAAATATGAATATCCCTGCTATAATAAAATTTGTCAATTAAATGTTTAAACAAAATTAATAAATAAATAAGAGTTGATGTTAATGTTGATACAGCTACACTAAGTAACCTGGCGCGTATTCTAGATTGTATGTATGTGTGACCTATTTCAATGTTTACAATATCTCATTTAGAAGAAGGGGCGGAGTTTTAAAATCAACCAATCAAACTTGGATTGACGTAAGGGTTTTTCCAAATACAGTCGTCCTACACTTATAATAAAGAATGCTTTCCGAGAGTATACGAATGAGCCCTTTTAACTTAGTTTAACAGATTTTTCATTGATTCAACAGTCACGTGTTCTACTATGGGATATATGTTTTCTCGGTTAATGTTAAACTCTAACAGTTTGATTCTATGTTTCATATCATAAAGACGGACCCATTCCATGTTTTAAGTATGCATACCGGTAGGACTTTATATAAATATAAATATATTACTTGGCATGTATGCAAATTATAAATATGGACATATTTTATGCCATTTCTTTTTTTTTCAGAATTTTCAGCACTTAATCAGTATCTTGAAGCAAGCCAATTTGCCCAAGAAGCTACAATGAACTTTCATGTAGATCAAAAGGTAATACGATTAATTCTAAGAAATAAAACTCCTTTTTGTCACATTTTATGCTTGTGTTTTGAATGTTATTGAAATACATCTTAATTTCTTTTAGGTTCCCCAGAAAACTTGCATAATTGGATCAGAAAGTTTGAATTATCCAAACACTGTAAGTGAGGGACAGTTCACTTGCTCATTGAACACTTTCCTAGAAAATATGGGAGAATTTGCACCCAGATCACAGACTGTTGTGCCTGTTATGGAGGCTCCGCAAGAATTCCAAAATCCAGAAAGTCCCAAAAGTTTTATCGATATGGACAGTCATAATGAACCGACAGATCATGACATTTCATTATACGATCCAAACTGTGTTGTGAAAACGGAAAAAAATTATGTGCCGTGTTCGATGTCTTCTGTAAATATCGTTTCAAATCTACCAAACTTTTGCAGCATAAACAATGAATCATATGTCCAGCCTGTGAAAACAGAAACATTGGAATCTCTCTCATGTGCGGATCAGTTTGGAAGTTGTGATATAGGTTCTGCTGTTGTTGTGGCTATAAAGAATGAAATTAATCAAGTTTGCAGAATATTGGGAATTTCACCAGGTATGGACACTTTAATACAAATACGAAGAAGGAAAAATGCTGTTTATATTTTATGTTGAAAAACACTGCCCTAATGAAATATAATGTGGATGGGATAGGTGCGTGTATAAACAACGTTTTCTATGTTTAAACGTGATATTACGCTTAGAGTACATGAAATCAATAAAAAACCGAAAAATCAGTCAATTAGAACGAATAGCTTTTGCGAAAATATAACTTTAGATTTGATTAATGATAACAATAATGACACTGTACACATCAGTTAGCAGAGTAATATTTTTTCATCGGTAGACCATGACGCCCTGTGTGCAATTTTCAGTCTATTTACCTTGTGTATCTGAAGTAGCAATCGGCTCTTACCTGTTTAGTGTATCAGGGTATTGAACTTTTTCTATTGTATTTTATTAGATCCACGGTTGTGGTCTGAATCCGATGTCCTGAGATGGATGGAATGGCATGGCAATCAATTCCATGCTTCTTATGGTGTCACAGAGGCTTTCAGAATGTGCGGAGCGCAGTTATGCCGACTGAGTAATGAAGCCTTTAAAAGAAGATCTCCCGAGGCAGGAGCCAATTTGTATGCACAACTGGATGTTTGGAAAAATGGTACAAAATCAAAACCTATACATTAAAAATCCTTTTCAACAATGAACACAACTATCGTGGTTACACAAAATTCCAATAAAATTCAAATGTAGAATATGCCTTCCATTGTTAGTTTCGTATAAAACCTATACTTTCATAGATGTAACCAAAATTACATTTCTTTCCTTTAATTTGGTTGATCCAAGTTTATTTTGCTCACGTATTAAATGATTTTTCCAGCATGCAGTTTGCCAAATCCGCAAATAAAGCAGACAACACCGGATTTTTATTATCCACCAGCGCCCCAAGAGTCCTTCATGCCAACATCTCTCTCCCCCACCCCGAGTGCAACCAGCGAAGAAAGCTGCCGCAGCAGTTCGCCGATTAGTTCACACTCAGACGAAGAAGTCGCCACACAGAATTGTAAGTACATAAACAAGATTCCTTGGTTAAAGAAAAACAACCAAAACAAATAAATGCATTCTTCTCTCACGTGATTGTTTTCTTACCTGTCCTATTTATTAAATCTGTTTCAGATCACAGCAATGTAAATAGTGGAAAACAGACAATCCATCTTTGGGAGTTTCTAAAGGAACTTCTTCTTCAACCAGACAATTACAGTGGCTGCATCAAATGGGTCAGTCGCACTGATGGTATTTTCAAAATTGAAGATTCCTCACGTGTTGCTAGGCTATGGGGAAAACGAAAGAATCGACCAGCCATGAACTACGATAAACTGAGCAGGTCTATTCGCCAATATTACAAGAAAGGTATCATAAAGAAGACGGAACACTCCAAGCGACTTGTGTACCAATTCTGTCAACCCTATCTCTGAAAAGACAAATTTTACTAATCAGTCAATTTGAAGGACTTTCCCCAAAATGTCCATTTCACGCTTTTGGCGTGATTCATTAAAATGGTTACTGCTTAGTAATTTACATTATGTTTTATAGTTACCAGTTCCCCATTGTGACTGGCTTTTATAACTGATGTATTCCTTAAAAATGGCAGCTGTTGTTTCATGTTGCTCTGGTGCGGGCACCAGTTGATATCTCATAGTGACATATTCATCTGAGATGGGTGGAATTTTTAATAATATTCTTGCCACATTTCCTACCCGGTGGCCATTATGCGACGTATAAGAATTCCAATACACATGCAAATTAAAAACTTGCTTGTGTTTTTTTGTATCATTATGTAACTTGTAAGTGTAAATTTTCTTCTCACTTATATTTATATTTGTTAGATATTGAGTATTATTTTAAATTCTATTCATGATATTGCTTAATGCTGAAGTTCGATTTTCTTATACTTAGTTAGTTTTGTCTATAGTATTGGAATTGAAGGCATTTATGTGATATTTAAAAAATATTTGCACAACATGTTACCATGTTTCCAGACAATAAATAAATTCTCAAAACATGCATAAATTTTCTTCGTGAATATGAAGTCATATATCTGCTAAACATGACGATATGATACAGAGATGACAAAGTCCACACATACATAACAGTCTCAGAAGAAAAAAAGGTGTCCGTAAGATATCTGATTTAAGGAATTTTTACAAATAAAACTGGACATTTCGAATTTATTTTTTTTTTCATACCTATTCTCATCAGATTCTCTGCATAAAGTGTTAATATTATTATCTTATTTGAATATATTTTTTCAAACAATTTTAAGATAAATATGTGTAGTATGTTGTAATATTATTCTTTATTTCGGGAATTTCCCTAAAAAAGTGGTGACTATATAAAAAATAATTGCATAATTGTTTGATTAATCGTTTGTACTCGGTCTGACAATGAGGGCTTTACCGATCCCTCTGACAGAGTGTCAGACAATGCATTAATTAATGTAATTCTTAAAACAAATTTGTAAACTTCATGTTTACTAAGCAGTTGACATCCAAAACCTCTCTATCGGTAAACAAGCATTTACTGCTATTCAGAAAAGGATAGGAATAATTTAACATCTTTTTTTCTGTATAAGCTAAAATAACCTTGATAAAATTAGCTTTCGAAGTAAATAATTCCTAATGATATTTATTTTACCAAAAGAATTTTTTTTTTTAATTTTTCAGCGCATAAATTTGATGACATAAATATATTTTGATTTGACACATTTTTGCTTATCACTGCAATGCAATTAACGACGAATTTAAAAATAAACGTATATTTAATTTTTTTGGTATAATTTTATAAACAACCCTGGTATGTACTTCAGAGAGATGAATGTTGTACAGCGTGATATATTGATCTCATCCTTTCTTCAAATTACCTATATTTCTCACTTATATATATATATATATATATATATATATATATATATATATATATATATATATATATATATATATATATATATATATATATATATATACACACTTTGAGGTCTTTGTATAATTAGCAGCAAAGAAAAACCTTTCGATGACCTTAGCTTTGTTAAAAAATAACACACTTAACTTCTAGTAGAATAATACCAACTAATACCACGCTTTCTTTATTATCATGTGAACTCACTATATTTATTTCTATTTTTACATGGAATAAAATTTAGTTCTTACAAAATATTTATGCACACATTTTGTAGAAAAGAGTATTATTTTGATTTCCACTTGTTATTCTATCAACTGGGGATTGCCGTAGAGAAAGAACGCATGTCATGTATATTCACAATTAACATGTCTGTTAAAAATTATTTGTAAATAATGCAAATTTCAACGACAACTATGTATTTACTATGTATTTACCTTTGTTTTGCATATGATTAATGTATAAAGATTTTAAATAACTTTTTGTTGTACATGCATGATATAATTTTTATCAGTGTGCTAAAATATAATCAGTTTCTTTTGCAAAGGGTTATACTTATTTTTTATTTTTTCTTTTGGGGGGGGGGAGTATATTTATTCTCTGTCTTTCTCCCTCTCTCTGAAAATTGAACATGTGTGGTTGTGTCACAACTGGATCTATAAAAGAAGTCTTTTTCCTTCTGAAAATTTAGCTACGTGGTGCAGAATTGGATCTGCAATTTCTTTATTCTTCAAATACCAATGGTATCTTTTAGAAGCTTGAATTTGGATTATGAAAAATAAACTATTCCAAATTCAAGTTCAAGTTCAATTTATTCACCCAAACCAAAATACTGGTACATCGGGAACATTAATAACATATATACATTATATACAAACTGGACAGAGGTACATATACAATACAAAAAAACATGACAGGATATTAAAAAAAAATAAATAAGAGAGGGAAAATATATCAGGGAGGACAGACAGCAACATAATTTTTTAGGATAAACATACATAGTTTTTCTAGCATTTTTTTCATTTGAGTTAACATTATTTCCATGAATTTAATAACCTTTAATTACAAAACTTTTCAAAAATAAAATATCAAAGATTTCAATACAAAAACACGTATTTCGTATAAAAGTGTTTCTTTCTCATATTATCTGATTGATTTAATTTTTAGTCCAGAATTTAATACACATCCCCCAAAAAGGCAAATAAATAAATAAATAAATTAATAAATAGTATAAATCATTTATAAACAAGCAGTAATATATACTAATAACTTAGATGATAATAAAGGTGATTTTTAATGAGCATTACTAGTAATTTTTGCACACAAACGCTTCAAAACAAATGAATGTATAATGAACTAGAAGGAAATAATTTCATGAGGTTTAGTTTTTCTTTGATGTTTTTCTGAAAAAAAAAAAAAAACATTTTATCCAAATTAAAAACTTAGTCAAAGTTGTTTCAAATATAGTAATCTATAGAATTGTGGATTAATTTAAGTTTGTCTTTTTTGTTTGAAAAATCTTATTGAATTTTTACAAAGTGCAAATGAAACTTTAAAAAAATCTTTCTTACATGAATACGGATATTTTTTCTAACAAGTTTAATATCTAAAATTACTGTTTGAATAATTTTTTTCCTTTTCCGTGATCACCATTTAAAAAAAAAATGTTTAGTATACAAGATGAAATTTGGCAGGGACATGTTTTATATGAGGTTGCCACATATATTTATTTTTTTGTCTGTATCTTTCGGTTCTTAATAACATTTCTTTTTGTCAATATATGATGTTTACAGGGTAGATTGTAAGTAATCAAATTCCCAAATTCCCAAAAGCCAAAATTCAAGTGACACTGGTGCTATGTCTGTCTTTTCTGGACAAGAATATCACGATATTACTCGGCTTGAACTTGAATCTTTCCTTTTTCAACTTTCCATGATTTTTGTAAGGCCTGTTTACGGATACAAAAATTGTACCAGGAAGTCTATAAACTACAAAAGGTAAAATGAGATTTTATTGTAAATTTAAAAAAAAAAATGTAAACAGATTTTTTTTAATTTTAATAAAGTCATTCAACAGGAATTGTTCAATTGAAATATATTTGCATGAAAAATTACATAAATGTATTTATAATTACCTTTATAATTAGGTAATTTTAAAAGATATGTTCTAGGTCACCGTATCTATGCGATACATTGTCAAACTATCGAAACAAGCATAGAAACAACATAACTGAGAGCATTCGACCTAATAAACAAATAAACAAAAATAAACATTTATTTATTGCAAAAAAATCTTTCCGCTTGTTTTCTTCGAGCATCTCCAGGGATCTGGATAAACATAATAAGCTATATCTAAGCGAAATTGATAATATAATAATTTTGATTTATTTTTAAACACTTTATTTATTTACAAACGAGAACTGTCGCTTCTTATTTCCTGGTTGTGAAGGTATAGCTTTCATTGTTGTTCATTCCAAAATCATCGGGTGATTATATATTTTTTAAAAGCTAGGTTTAACCGTATTCAAAAGCCATACAAATAAATTGTGTTGTATGAATTTTTATTTACAAGCCACGTTTTTAATAATTCGTTATGTAAGCTGTAGATATAAGAATGATAATTATAGTAATGTTTAGCTAAACGAAACTAATACTTTATTTAAATTAAAATATTATCCCATGTTATTTGAAAATCAATTTTGTTGAATCAGGAGAATTGATCATCTATTAAAGCGATATGAGCCGCATCTTTGAAGTCGGAAATTTTTGTGGCAAAATTGTAATTAACAATTTCAATGACAGAAAAAAAGAACATTTATTTATTGTGTATGGCAAAATCGATTGAATTGGATAGTGTAAAAAAATATCCGAGGCAAATGATTACATGTATTTGATTGAATGTGTGTTGTTTAATGTCCCATTCGAGTTTTTTTTCCCACTCAATCATATAGAGATGGTTCCAAGGCAAATGAAAGGAAAAATAAATCTTTCTTACAAGAATATACATTTTTTTCCTAGCTTATTCTAAATTTACTTTATGGATAAAGGCATTTTGATGTTTGCTTTTTTTTTTAATTTATAAAGCGATTTCCCCCTAAATTTGTTTAGTTTACAGGGTGAATGAAATATAAAGTTGAAACATATATTTATTTTTGTATATATCTTTCAGTTCCTGGCAAAGCATTTTTGTCATCAAATGATTATGCAGGCTCTATCCAAATGCAACTATGTGTTATTGTTTCTGTACTTGTGTTATTAACTGACTGGACTACAATCTCACTCGTCATCTTTATTTAGAATCTGTAATTGTCACGGCATACACATGTATATAGATACAAGAATTTAACCAGGAAGTTTTTAAATGGTCCAGAAATGTATTTTAGAAATAAAGGTATTCCGTGGAATCGTTCATTTGAATAAAATGACATATTTACAATGAAATATTAACCTTGTCTGATATCCCCTTCACTATGCTATTCATACAATGATGCGCATTGAAGTGTTATAATTCTTCGTTTGAATGGAACGTTTTGGTCTTTTTTATTGAGAGTCGAACGTTACATAATGGCAGTCCATTTCTTTAGAAACGAGAAAGCAAATGATCAGCACCAATTTTCGACACCCCATTGTCTGCGACAAGCAACGCGAGTTTTGCTGAAGTGGGAATTTTATTAAGCTGAGAGAGAGAGAGAGAGAGAGAGAGAGAGAGAGAGAGAGAGAGAGAGTTCTGTAAAACTGGCGTATTGCAACGAGTATGTACATAATTATGTATTTATCATGATAATTGAAGTAATCACAACACGTGTATCAATCGAATAAATGTTCACCCGGTGTTTATGTGGACTGGCAATCTGATTGGCTATTGTACTTATATCTATTTAAAGAATAGCTGGTTTTTTTTTTTTTTTTTTTTTTTTTTTTTTTTTCAGGTATTCG